CTCAATCAGCTGGCCCCTGCGTGACCCGGCCTTTTCTTTTCTCCCGCTCGTTCAAGTCCCGGCCCCTTTGTTGCCGCCTCTCCCTCTCTCTCTCTCTCCCCGGTTCGCGCTGCGCTGCGTTGCGGAGCGACAGCTGTTCGCAGCAGACTGTCCACTGTCTGCGCGCGTGTGTTGTTTCTTAATGTCCACATTGGAGCTCTCGGTCGTTTGGCGGAGCCGTTTCGTGAGTTCGGTAAAAAAAAATACTTTATATTCCTGCTTTCCTAAGAGGACTAATCACAAAACGTGTACTGAATTTTATCGTGCAGTTGCCTGGGGCTTCTGAGACATGATCATGCGTTTCCCCTTTATTCCCCTTGCGGGATTATTTGCACTGACAGATCTTTTCAGTCTTTAACTTATTTTACCAAGAATAAACTTTTCTGTGTTGTGCGTCATCGTTTTATACACGATCGGATTGTGTTGGCTGAAAGGAATTCCCAGGGAATTGTACCTCCTAAATGTATATTTCACGATGGCAGAATGTCTGACTAGAGCACACAGATCAGACTGAAGTAAATAATAGATAAGAAGTTAATGAAAGAAAACACAAGCGTGAAGTAAGGGGAGTGAATCAGACAGAAGCTTTTCAAAGGATTGTTAAAACGGATTTATTTCTGCTGGAATTTATCAAGAAAAAAGAACTAAGAAAACTCAAGTAACCAAGACTGGAAATTCTAAAAGTCGTGTCACTACATTAATAACATATTAAAAATCGAAGAATACCGGGAACGCGCTTAGACTGTTGAATTTTAAAATGTATATGAAATGGACACATTTCTAGAAAGACATTTATTAATAAAAAAAGACAGGAGCAAAAATAAAAATAAATATTGATCTGTTAGATAAATCTGTAATTAAAAATTCTTTAAATGTGCTTTCAAAGCCTCTTCTCTGAAAAAATAGAAAGGCAAAAAAGATCTATATTATTACAAGGGCTAGCCAGTACAAAAAGGCACGTAAAGATACGTTGGAATTGGAAAGGAATTATTAATGGAAGACAGCAGAAAATAATTTGCTGATAAGACTTTTAAGAAGCGTATTTAGCAAGAGCATCAAATGGGAGTGCGATATATAAAATGGGTTTTATTTCCACGTGTTATATGTTCATGATGTTATATGACGATGTGTGTATAAAATTATGACAGGCACTTAAAATTCATACCATTTTCAACAACAACAAAATTAACCATGTTAGGAATTAAAATGAAGTTGTAAAAATTAAAATCCTTTTTCTCCGGGAACACGTAAAAATTCATACCATTTTCAACAACAAAATTAACCGTTAGGAATTAAAATGAAGTTGTAAAAATTAAAATCCTTTTTCTCCGGGAAGACGTAAAAATTCATACCATTTTCAACAACAACAAAATTAACCATGTTAGGAATTAAAATGAAGTTGTAAAAATTAAAATCCTTTTTCTCCGGGAAGACGTAAAAATTCATACCATTTTCAACAACAACAAAATTAACCATGTTAGGAATTAAAATGAAGTTGTAAAAATTAAAATCCTTTTTCTCCAGGAAGACGTAAAAATTCATACCATTTTCAACAACAACAAAATTAACCATCTTAGGAATTAAAATGAAGTTGTAAAACTTAAAATCCTTTTTCTCCGGGAAGACGTAAAGAGATTGGGAGAAACGCTGAGCACGCCGTGCTTTCCCCGCGCTATGTGGTTATTGAGTTTTATGTTGGGGATACCAGTTCTCCCACGGTCTGACTCCCCTGCATTCTCTTTCCTGAATGTGCTGGCTAACGAATGTTCTGTTGACAGCCCCGAAGATTTTTGACAGGAAGGAGACTTGGAGCACAGATACGGGCTCACACACCAGGCTCTTAACAGATTCACAAACATAAGAATCCTGACTATTAACCAATTATTTGTTTAATAGTAATACGTTCCCGGCACTATGTTTAAATTAAATCTGAGCCGCATTTCATACACCAGCGCCGTCCGACAGAATGTCCCGTGGTGACTATAGGTGTTGTCCCGTACGGGACACACGGTTCCACGTGGCTTTTGAGCACTCGAAATGGGGCTAGGGTGACTTAAAAACTGCGTCTGGATTTTTGTTTTTAATTTCAAAATTACTTTAAGTAGCCACATGTGGCTAGGAGCCACCATAGTAGACAGTGAAATTCCAGAGAGCATTCGCCCATCCCATGCACGTCCTCAAATGGGAGAAAACGTTTCCAAGCCTGGCCAAGGTCACGCGGCCGGCACAGGGCACAGTCTGCTTTGGAATCCGCGCCTGTGCATCTCGCAGTCCTGTGCCTTTTCCGTTGTCTCACGGTCAACCGCGCCTTCTAGTTTTGTAGTGACAGCGTCCCATGTACACTCAGAAACTCAAATCGAATCCCATGAGTTTAAATGCCACGTGAGATCGAGCTGCTGAAATGCTGGGCATCTCGAGAGAAGCAAATGCTTCCCATCCTGATCCGGTCTCTGTCCTCAGCCCATTTTCTCTAGTGCCTTTATTCCTGTCCTGATTTTTTTGAGGAATGACGTTTGGTCATTTCTCTAGTTCGGGGCTCAGGTGAGCCTTCTTTTCCCCAAAAGCGCTGAGGTCCTCAGGGCCTGAGACCGGGCTGAGACCAAGTGTGTCCACGCCAGTCCGCCAGGCAGCATGACACCCCCTGGGCTGGTGGCCTTTTGCGTGTCCACGTAGAACGAGCAGCAGCAACGTTTGACCCGGGCGGGCTGGGCTAAGCGCCCCAGTCACCAGGGAGCAGAGTGACAACAGGCAAGTGGTTTCGAGCACGGCAAGGCTGGGCCACAGTCCGGGCAGCAGAACAAAAGCCCCAGGGGCGGGACACTAGTTCAGAAGTGGCCTGAGGGACAGAAAGCAAGCAAGGACCCCGTGGGTCTTTTATTCTAAACAGCTCAGGCCTGCCGGCGGAGCCCGCAGGGCTGATGACTCCACACTGAGAGAAGGCACATTGCCTGCCAGCTGTCCCCTCCAGCACACAGCCTGCTTCGGGTCAAACGCCTAGGCATTTCTGTGGGGGTTGGGGAGTGGAGTTGGTGGGCGGGGGGATTAAAAGCAAGCGTCCAGAATTAGGCGCCAGGGGATCAAATCTAGAATCTACCGCTCTCTAACAGAAATCCATCACGGGCAAATTAATCATACTCTCTTACTCATCTGGAAGATGACAGGAATAATAATAATAATAACCAGTAACAATCAGTGATTAGCACACAAGTTTGCTGTATTAAGTGAGAGAATTCTTATAAAATGATTACATCAGTGCCTGCCACAGGGGACAGTCCTTGAGGTCTCTGTAAATGCCTTTTGTGTTTTAGAATGGTCCGAAGAACCTTGTGCCCGCAACATATCTACGAGATGGCTGGAAGTTCCCGGCACGCGAGAAGCCGTGCGTGAATACGGATTCCCTCATACCGATGGACAAACCAATTTTTATTTTGCAACTTACAGGGTCCGTTTTCCCGAACTCTGGTTCCTGAGTCCAAACTCACCAAATCACGCATGTTTATTATGTGCAGTGTCCTGCATATCAATTATACC